AAATATTAAGTCTCATTCACTTTAATCTATTTTAAGTTTATATGTTCCAATACTTTTGCTCACCTAAAAATTTTGTGTTCCATTCCAAATAATGCTATCTTCTAAGTTGTGTATCAGATCCAGATGTAAATACCTGGAAATAAAAGCTGAAATGTTGATCTCTTGTCTCATATTCATCTTTTGATGTCAAACCCAAATGTTTTCAGTCTACAACAAAAGTAAACGAATTGGACTCACTGTTCCAATACTTTTGGAGGGCACTGTAGGTGTAAATGCAATCTGACCACATTCTTAAGAAAAACACATCCACCCAGCAAGTTGAAAGGTCACCAAACTCTGCCTCTTCCTGCAAGCTCAAGAGAGCCTATCGAAAAGCTACAAGTCGTAGCAGGAAGTCTTCCCTTGCAAAAAGAACATTAATAATGAATGTGACTCTTGTCCATGGCTTCGCTTCCTTGACCTGAGACGCGGTATGTTTGTTGACAAGTGTGCGCCAGCTCTGCCTGGCTAATCTGCATATTAGGAATCCAATCACAAACAGGCAGAATTAAGATAATGAGACTGCTTATTAATTTCAGATCGGATGTTGTTATCTAAACATCGTATCCAGACATGGATCAAATTATAACACCAGGCGTGAATGGGGCCTAAATGTCGAGGTGCACATAACAGGTGAAAAGACTACATGACCAGCTGTAGGAGATACTGCACAGACAGATGGCCCACAAACTATTAGTCACAAAGAAAGGAAGATTTCTTACGCAACTTTTTGCCAGTTTAGTAATATTGTATAGGGGTTGCATTCACACTGCAGCAGATCACTGCAGCATAACTTAACTGTACATGTCAGACAGTCATCCATGACAGGAACATTTACAGCTGGCCAATTTCCTGCTGTGGATTCAAACAAGAAAAGTCAAGGCCTACACTAGCAAATACAGGACATAGCAGGAAAGGAAAGGAGTTAATTATGATTCTGTTTCCTTAAAGTATATCAATAAGACTTGTCAGTGAGACAAAATTGAAACCCCAGGAACAGCGCCGGGCTTTGAAGCCAATTATACATAGTGGAAAAACGTGAAAAAACAATGTCCAGGTCGACAAGTGAAGCCATTGGACCCGAAAAGACTTTTCCCCATAGATTTACATTGTTAAAGACACATCTGTAGATCAGTGGGTACATTTTTTTTAGCGTCACAACCCCCATGAAATGACTTGTTTCGCTATATGGAAATTATCCATTTGAACTGATAACTTTTCAAAAGTCTAGAAGAGCTGCATTTTATCCCCATTAAAGTTAGCGGAGGGCTAAACCAGAAGTTAGCCACTCAGCTGCCTTAGGTCTCCAGGGCACTTGCTCTATGGGCAACACAATGCAGAACATCCGGGTAATTTCATACTGCAGAAATCAAGCTGTTTTGGCTTCATGTGCTACTGAGCAGCTTTCACAGGAATGAACAGGGCCCCACCTCTCTTTATACATCCATAGCCAGAATACACAGTTACATGGCTCTGAAACTAGTAAAGCTAAATGGAATGCAGGCTCCATTATATTATTAATTACCCCTGCGGTTTTCCTGCTATGTCAAGTCAAAGTGTCTTCTGTCGAAGGCCTGTTGATCCATAGCAAGACTGTGCAGTCCCTTTGGAGTGCAGGGCTGTTATTAAAACCAATGGAAATTTGCAAACTTCTTTCAGCTTGCACATTTTCTTTGGACTAAACAACCATTACATTTAACTATTCTTCAAGGTCAGATTAAACCACTGAGGGCTGAATTCATGCCTGACTGGAGTGTAGTGGTAAAAGAAACACCCCACTTCCTCAGAGTGTGGTGTTTCTTTTTATTTATGGCGTGGCTATATTGGTTAAACCTCACCTGCTTCAGTTCTGCTTTGGTTCCTGCTAAGAGACTGGGACATTTAGGTCTCTCTGTAGTATATACATAACATTGAAAACTGTTGGATAAATAGCCAGGCTGTCACTGACCTTAGCTGCTTCAGTAGCAGCTTTGAGCCCTGAGTGTCAGACTCTCTTTCTCTCACTCTGGGAGTATCAGTCTGGGTCTGTTTGTCCCTTATGCTCTGTTAAGTGTGCACTTTTCATACAGCACCTTGCTGCCATGAAGACTCTTAACACTGACAGGAGGAAATTATAACACAACAAAGAACCAGACAGAGATGGATGAGACTGAGGAAAGGATGTTTTACAATGAATCTTTTCTCATCTTCTTCCTCATTCCCTGACATGAACTTTTTCCTTGTCTCTCTGTCTCTTCATGTATCATTGCATGTCTGTGTCTGTCCCTCTCCGCCTCGAAATCTGTGCCCTACCAATTGTGCGACCCTGGCCCGTCCTCATCACTACTCTGTCCCGAAACAAGCACTGTCTGTTGTTCTATGAAATCAATGATTGATTTTCAGCCGCCTCGCTCAGTGACCTCACACCAATGACATCAACTCCATCCTGATGACTCTTTCTCTCCCTTTGTGTGCGTTTGTTTCTATTTACAGTAAAACTATCCTCACTCCTTTGGCTATCCATCTCCTTTACCACTCATCCACCTTGTTTGTTCTGTCTTTCTGACAGCTTCCCGCTGTAGAGCTAACTCTTCAGTTTGTTTAAGTGATATTTCAGCGCCACCATCCACACATTCAAAAACTGCTGCAAGGGCCCTTTGGAGTGTCTCAGATTGGGTTTGATTTACAATGTTTGCAATGCTGTGTTTTGTTTTCTTAAGAGGCAAGGCATGCCTCTCCCTCTTGTAGACTCACCCTGATTTGTCAGGTATATATGATATATCAGGAGATACGACAGGACTGGAGAAAGTACTCTGATAAATTGTTACTTTACAGTGTGAACTAGAGTTACAACAGGATATTTCTTGTAGTGCTGTGTGTATTTATGCATGTGTTTCCTCGCTGACATCTGAGGGGGGAAGGTTTGACGTTAAGCTCAGCTGGCAGGCATTATTTGTCTTGCCTTGAAGATGCTTCAACCTAAGAGAAGTTTGTGAACATGGACTTAAAAACCAGGTTGATCAGTTTGTTTTCACTACTATTTTTTACTACTACCCATGCTCAGCGTTACAATTACGAAGAAGTAAAGGTTGCTGTTGCTGGCGTGACTGAAGACTCAGTTACATTATGGACAGTGACAGAGACACTGTATAAGAGCAGCTTGCCAAGCTTTAAATCTCTGTTGCAAGCTATGTGCATGCAGTGAATGTATCACGGTGTGTGTCGAAGCAATGATACACAACCACAGTGCTTTAAAAACTGACGGCACATGCAAACACAAACATACTACCACTACCACTGGATGTTTGCTGGCTTCTATACTAGAATAATCTTCTGAACAGCTGATACTTGCCATCCTGTGATAGACTCTTCAACATGTAACATCACATCAGGCACTTCAAACTCAAATATCACCCTACCCACTGCCACCCATTCTCTCTGTACCTCACACCCTGCTTTATTTTGCAAGGAAATACTTTTATACAACTGCTTCATGGTTATGAAAATATTGAAAAAGCTCTATGGCCCTAAGCTTTACTGTATCACTATTTCAGTTGCCCCATCAGTGTCAAGCAATGACTGCCTAATTTCACCATAAAACTGAATGGGCATCAACATTACACTGACTAATGTTGATGATGCAGATTGCAGAATAGATTTTTAAGCATTAGTCTCCTGTGCAGTAAAACAACATGGTATTTAAGATTTAATGCAAAACTAAATATTGCATAATAATTGTTATTGTCCACAAATGCAAATGTGCCTTCAGCTTCACCAGCTGACTAAAACCCATCACAGTGTAATCACCATACATACAAACAAACAACACAACATGCACAGTACAGACAACAATGACAGACATGGTTAGAGTCCAAATGGTGTTTATGAATTTAGCACAGTTATTGCATTCGCTGTGAAAGACTTTTTGCTGCAGCAGCTCTATAGCATCCTCCCAAGGGCAATTTTATGAATTCTTTAAAAAGGGGATAGGGAAAAGGGGATCTTGTAGTTTCACCTGCATGTTTAACATGCATCGCAGCTGTCTTTGCTCTTTTACAATAATTTTGGTCGCCATGATTGCAATTCTGGACAGTCTGTGTTTGCTCTTAGACCCTGCGTGCCCTTACCATGTACTCATGTTAAAAGTTAAAACACTTTCAAGAAGACAAGACTTCTTCATTGATAAATACAGAAATGTACACTTGATAAAAATTAACGAAAATAAGGCCAGGTGCTACTAAATCTCCATTTTTATGATGTGTAAACTCCACTAGTGGCATTGCAATAAGATGTATCAATAAACATATTAGTATAACCCTATAAGTTGCTAATTACGAAGCAGGCCTGCACTTTAATGATGTTGGAAGTGATGCTTACTTACTGTTTGCTCTTATTATGTTATCTTAGACAACTGTCACAACAAGAAACCAACTATGGGACACCAAAAATAGGCCAAAGATTCATAATAAAGAGCTATATGAGCACTGCTGCTCTAATGTGGCCCACAGATTGTGTGTATGAACAACCTCACACTGAGTTGAGCCTCCCTCTGTGTGTCTGCATGATAAACTGATAGAGTAACATTCCCTGATCACCTGCCTGCAACCTGCTCAACTCGTTTCAACAGGGAGGAATTTAGGAGACTGACCTGCAAATCTGCCTTTACAAACTTTACACCGCCTCACATCAGAAACAATAACCACCCTGTGACTAGGTGGAGATGAAACCTAACATGTAATGAAATCATAACTTAGCTAACTTAGCTAACCTCAAGTTAACTCCCATCCCAGCAGCAGAGCAGCATCACCCCTTCAAAGATACATTATTCTTTTATTTTCCCGAATAAAATGAGATAAACTGAACAAACATTAACAGGCGAAGCTGTACATACCCATGTGAAACTAAAAAGTCACCTATAGAAGCAGGCACATAACAATATTAAAGTTACGCTAATGCTTAGTTAAGCAGTTTCGCCAACGTACCTCTCTCACCACCAAAAAACACCAACTTCCGATCTTCCGAGGGTCCTGAAGTTTTCATCCACCACTCCTGGACGGTCTCCCACACACACTGTGAAGGTTTATTATCCACTGAGAGCTGTATTTTGATGGGAAAATGTGAAAGTTTAGCTGCGTTGTTACTGAGAGAACCTGTTGCTGACAGCTCAGTGTGTCACACCAACAACATGGCTGACGGCGAGTGATCGGTGGCTGTGAGGGTGTTAACGTCTGACCGTCCACAGAGTGGGAGGAGACACAGACACAGGCAAGAGACACACACTGTGATCACAGACCTGTTTATAAGTTCTCCACGTTAAATAGGTCCCTTTGTATTTCTCTTTGAAATGTTTGTTAATGCCCATTATCTATTTTTAATGCTTTAAACAAAGTGCTTAGCCTACATAGCATAAAAGACAGGATGGTTTTGTTCTTTGAGTGTGATAGGCCTACTGCTGCATTTCCTTCAGATATTGCTCTGAAATGTACATATATTTTTAATTAATCTTATTGAAAATGTACAGCACAAGTATGTCAACAGTCACATTTATACATTCACATGTATGGCACATTTATACAAGTACAAGGAAGTACAAAACATGGAAACATCTTACAAAACAGGATTACAAGGGCAGTGCATTTAACTGTAGGTTTTGAATGGAAATGTGATATTAAACAACAGAGGAGGAAAAGTAATAATATTAATGATAATATATACAGCATACAGGGGAAATATGTATTTATCTCAGTTATCTGATACATTGGGAAAATGTTTTTGAATATTATTTAACTTTTGTGCTTTTATTCCATTCATCAGTTTACAACAGAGAGTACAACAAAGTACAACAGAGTTAATTATTTTTGTTTTTCAAGATCATACCAAATGTAGTATTGTCAATAGAGACAGGAGCTGGGAATTATGAGATATTTTGTTTTATCCTTTTGAGAGTGCCAAGCCAAAATGTATGTAAAATTCAGCAGTTTATTTTTCTATTTTTATTTGATAAGTGACACACTCAAATCCAGGTTAAAGGATTTCAGACAGAGTATTAGCCTATTTTGCATTTATGTGATACTCCTTTTTTTGTACACCCTTACTACATGACCCCCAGAAAATAAAATAAAAAGAAAACACCATTCAAGTTGGGAAAATAATGCATAAGATAAAATAAGCTGCTTGATTTTACATATTTTGAAAGACTCCAATAATCACTGATGTTGTCTTATTTTCTTTTTCAGCTTTCATTCAGATTATAATGGTTGTCTTTAATAATTTGACACTCCCCTGAATTGAAAGTTTGATATTACAGTAAGTGTTTCATACTTGATAAATAACTCAATAATTAAAAAAAAACATCTTTGTTCATGCAGTGACTGGCAGGAAGTAAACAGCTGCCTTAACAACAGAATAGCAATAAAAAGGTCTTCCCTTCATCCCACCCATAAGTATAAAATAATAACAATGTATTAAAAAATGAAGCCAAAATATTCCTGATATGGAGGCGGCCATATTGCGCTGGTGATGTCATTTAGTGCCAGAGTCTGCGCAGTAGCGATCGTAATGTGGAGCTGTCCTACCCATTTTGGAGCACACCTGACACACACAGCTGTCAATCATGACGTTACATGCCCCTTTGCCCCTTTTTCAAATAGCATTGAATAACTAAATAAAACCAAACTTTAAAGAAAAACGAACTCTTGGACATACATCAGTGTGATTAGAACAACCTGGGAAAAAATGATGTGATGTTTACTTTGATCTTCTAGTCTGTGTTGTACATACAGATAGCCTACAGAAGAAGAAAGAAAGAAAGAAAGAAAGAAAGAAAGAAAGAAAGAAAGAAAAGTAGCACAAATCTAGAATATTGTCTTGTCGGTTCATTTGGAATTTATCAAACACAAAGTTAGACTAGTTTTAATTGGATTTGTATTCACAAAGCCTCTTGTTGTGGTGCAATAGGCCTATAGAAAAGTTCAACTTTGCTTTTTCCACCTCATATGGGCAAAACCAGGAGGGAATATTGGGACCAAAGTGACACAGGAAGTCATCTTAACAGTACTCAGAAACATGTAGGTGTTGGTGGAACACAGAGCAGGAGCCCAAGGGAACAGGTGGCCATCACCTGTATGGAAATAGGAAGTGCAGCATTAAATCAAACACTCCATAGAATAGGCAAGCACCCTGAATTAGGTCAAAGAACTATGCACAAACTGTAATAAACCAGTAACTGTCTTGATCTGATTTTCATGTCTTGTTACTGTACACTACAGGGTTTCATGTATATTTTTTGCTTGAGGATGATGATGATGATATATATGTAACTGGGGATTATGCAGCGATATTTGGTGCAATAAAGTCTGGAGTCACCTGGAGACTGCATGTTGTTTAAATCTCCGCCAAGGGTTAATGTCTAAGAACTACCTTTATTATCTCCAACATTCACCTCCATAGGTAACATTTGTTATTCCAGTTATAAACTCTAAAAGCTTGTGTTCAGAATTTTCATATAGGTCTTTATCCCCCCCTAGTGTTAAACTTAAGTACTAAAATGTATTTTTTGTTTCTACTTTTTCCTTACTTTATTAGGTGTTCCTTTTGTGCATGTTTTGTACTTGTAAACGCTCTTTAGCATGTGAGATGTGTTATTGTAAGAAGTAAAGGTTTTGGAGGGGAAACAGGTGTGACACAGAAAGACGGAACTTAATATCAGGACCAATTGATGAAAACGTAATATTACATCGGGTAATTTGCTGAGAAAGACAAGCAGGCCATCCTTTAACTGATTACTTAAAAATAAAGTAATATTAGAAAGAGAGTTTAGTTTGTGTGTTCGTTTGTTTTCCTGCCAACTCCTGCTCCACACTCCAGTCTGCTAGGTGGCGGTAATGCGCCTAAAGGCTGGTTTGCAGGCTGCCATTAAAACTCGAGAAGAAGAAACATCCACTTGGTTGTAGAGTCGACAGTAAACATGGTCCGCAAAAGAAGTGTTGTCTGGGGCTTTTTTAAAACCATCGACTCAGAGTCGGTGCAGTGTCTGCTCTGCGGGGACTTTCTGATCAGACCGGGTCAGGGCACCACCACCAACCTGCTGAGACACCTGCGTGTCAAACATCCCACCGAGGTCGTCAAGAGGAGGACGGGTTTGCTAAAGGAAACTGCCTCCATCGACGGTCATGGCGACATGGAGACAGAGGGTGATCAGATCTGCTCGGGTATGGTGACTTCAAGGAGTTTATGTGAAATCCAGAGCGTATGAGTTGTCTGTACACGGTTCTCAACATGGAGGTAGCTAAAGCGACAGCTAGAAGCTAACGATGCTAATTCCAGAATCAGCATTAGTCAATATCAACAGTGCTAACAGAGCTAATGGTACTGACCTGGGGGTAGACTGGAGGGTGAGCGCAATGCTGCCGAACTAGGTGCCCACAGTCAGCCAGGGTGGAGTTGAGAGCGAGCCTTTCAGCAGGTGTGTGCTGTAGCAAGTGACCCTGTGTAGCTGCTTTTAATCAGAGATTGTGCTATAAAACTGCTACAAGGTCCCGTCTTCATGCTGCCTTTCCTTTTTCACACAGGACCAAACACCGGTGGCATAATTCCCCCCAGTGTGTGATTTAAAATGGCATGCCAGCATCCCAGAAACAAAAGAGGTGTGACAGGCTTGATGTGTAACATAACAGTGTCCACCTCTAGTGTAACATATAACATACATGTGGGCAGCGCTGTATAAACAACAACACTGCCGTAACATGGCCATAACAATCATTTACTGTTCCTGTTATGTAGTGGCTGATCTCATCCTCTGCTGTGAGGGTGAGGAGCTCCCGGATCTCATTGTTTTCCCTATTTGCGGACATCTTTGGCTATTGTTCTTCAACTTTGAGTTAGCTGCTAACTGTTTCCAGCTGCTTTTTAACTCTTCTGGCAGTGGGTTGCACACATAACACGTTGTTAAAACATTACACCTGTCCTGTGTATGGTCCTGTCCTGCCGACTGTCCCTTTTACACCGATGTTGACTGGCACTGTTACTAACTCCACTGCTGGTTTAAAGGTGAGACAAATCTGTCCCTGCATTCCAAGTTTGTACCTCATAAAGAACAGCGAGGCAGACTAACAACGTGACATTCCCACCTTGAACAGGCAGTGTAAAAGGGGTTAGTGTTTGATGTGTCCACTCTGAGCTACTGTAGAACAACATTGCAGACTGTGGAAGAGGACTTGCTCCGTATGTAGTTGTAAACTGCTCATTCTAGAGTAAAGATGACACAACAATTCTTATTTTCAGGTTAGTTTAAATCAGTGAAAACGTAGTTATGAACAATTGTATACCAATTCTTGTATATTGGTATATTTATATACAATATATATATTGTATATATTGTATGTATTGTAATTGTATACCAATTCCTAAATCCTACACACTGGACCTTTAATTCTCTGAATGTTGCATACAGAACGTTAAAACAACCCAGCCATCATTAATGTTTTATCTAACTTCTACCAGTGCTTTTTCTACTGAAACATGACTTACTAAAATGTCCTCTGTGAAAAAGACCTGTTGTTCATCAACACTCAGAAGATCAGCCAACAATTATGATTATAGATTCATTGTTTACAGCATTTACCAAACAATCAAGCCAAATATTTACTTCTTAAATGCTTTCCTCTCTATTTACATCATAATAAATTCTATGACGGTGTCACATTGGGCTCCGGGAACTTTTGATGGGTATTTTTACAATTTTTCTGATATTTTATACACTGAACAATTATTCAGTTATTCAGTAAAAAAGCGCAATATAAAAAATCCAAAATGAATTGTTAGTTACAGCCCTAGTTATAACTTTTTGTATTCCTCTTATTTAGTGGAAGTGGCTCTGGAGGACGGAGACGGTGATGGTGACACCTTCACCATAGAGAATGAAGCTGGTGTGAACTCTGCTATTAATGGCATCCTGGAAGCTGCACAAGGGAGTCCAGCAGAAGAAATAACACATGAAGAGGCGAGTGATGACCGCCCTGTAGCACGTAGATGGACTAAACGCAGCTTGATTTGGAGGCACTACGAGCACTTGGACAGTTTGGCTGCGGCACGTTGCCGCATTTGCATGAAGAAGTTAAAGTGCTTCGAAGGCGGCAGCACCAGCAACCTGCATCGGCACATGTCAAAGAGACACCCTGAGATCTTTTCTCAGCTAATGGCAGGCGGGCAGCACCCACCACCACCCCATACATCACAGGACCTCAATGCTAATGGTGACACATCAACACCACCAGAGACTGTTAGGGCGACAGAGAAACAGAGACAATTTTCTGGTAAGGTTTTATAGCTCACTGCTCTTTATGTATGTAAATAACTCTGACTTTTTCAAAGACATGTAACTGGTAAATGTTCTCTAAAGACAAACCTAGATAAAATACAAGCTAAAATACATAAAGAATCTGCTGAATTTTGATTTCAATCAGGAACTGTCTGATCAAAGAATAATAAAACAAGATTATTTACTTCTTAAATGCTTCCCTCTCTTTTTACATCATAATAAATTCTATGACGGTGTCACATTGGGCTCCGGGAACTTTTGATGGGTATTTTTACAATTTTTCTGATATTTTATACACTGAACAATTATTCAGTTATTCAGTAAAAAAAGCGCAATATAAAAAATCCAAAATGAATTGTTAGTTGCAGCCCAAGTTATAACTTTTAGTATTCTTCTTATTTAGTGGAAGTGACTCTGGAGGACGGAGACGGTGACGGTGACACCTTCACCATAGAGAATGAAGCTGGTATCAACTCTGCTATTAATGGCATCCTGGAAGCTACACAAGGGAGTCCAGCAGAAGAAATAACACATGAAGAGGCGAGTGATGACCGCCCTGTAACACGCAGATGGACTAAACGCAGCTTGATTTGGAGGCACTACGAGCACTTGGACAGTTTGGCTGCTGCTCGTTGCCGCATTTGCAAGAAGAAGTTAAAGTGCTTTGAAGGTGGCAGCACCAGCAACCTGCATCGGCACATGTCAAAGAGACACCCTGAGATCTTTTCTCAGCTAATGGCAGGCGGGCAGCACCCACCACCACCCCGTACATCACAGGACGTCAATGCTAACGGTGTCACATCAACACCACCAGAGACTGTTAGGGCGACAGAGAAGCAGAGACCATTTTCTGGTAAGGTTTTATAGCTCACTGTTATGTCTTTAATGTAAATTAATATCAAGTTACCAAAAAAGATTTTTCATTTTGTGGTTCTACTGTATGCAAGATTGTAACGAGACTAAACACGCGGCCTTCTCTTTCCCTTTTCTTACAGCTGCGTTGAAAGCGTCAAAGGCATCTGAAGGAGAAAAGCGTGTGCTTAGGAGGGAGCGGGAGCTGATAGTAGCTCTTAGGGGTGCGCAGAGGGAGGAGGCTCGGGCTCTGGAGCATCAGAGGGAGCTGCTTGAGAGGCTGCGTGCAGTGAATGCCAGGGAGGCGGCTGCAGAGAGGGAGCAGATTGAGTCGCTGAGGAAAGCACAGCTGGAGGAAGCCGAAGATTTGATTAGACAGAGAGAAGAGGTGCAGAAGGAAAAGGCAGAGCTGCAGAAGAAATGGGAAGAGCTTCAGCAGGAAAGAGAAAAACTCGTCTTGTTTTCTGAAGGACAGTAAACCTCCTGACTCTGTTACAAGTAACCTTCATGTTGCTGTCATCACTATTTTCAAATTTTCTATAAATGCTTTGGGACCAATTTAAACACATGGTGATCTCGGTAAAAATCTCAACTCCCCTTTTAGTAAAATACTTTTACAAACAATCAAAGACTGTTGTTTTTGGTTTCATCACAGCTGTGTTGCACTGCTTCTTCCTTCCTTCTCTGCCCACTCTGGTCCTGTCTCATTGTATGATGACCTGACATCGCTCTGGCTTCAGATGAATAGAAATTTGATCCAGGTCTCTTCCCCACCTCACCCTGCATTCACTAATGGCTGCAACAAGCAATTTTCAAATGATACAGTAGGCAGAGACTGGCCATAGAACTGTATGTGTTGCCTCTCGCTCTGCAACTTCACAGGACAGGATCAGACTAGCTGCTAGATCCTGAGTTTGTGTTAACACTCAAATATGCAACTTCTTGCTTTTAGATTATTCTCAAAATTTTTGTTTGGCAAAACATACTGTTTATTATTAGGTTTCTGTCAACTCTTTACTGAATTGATACATCACTAACATTTCAGTTCTGTAGGACCCTAATTGGGGACATTTAAGTTCATGTTTTTGCTATAAATATTTTTACTTTTTTTATACTTGTATGTACCTCTTTATTCTAATTTTCTATTTTTATATTTTTTTCTTTATTTATGTGTACTATATATTACTATATTTTCTATATTATGTGTACTTATTTCTGCAGTACTTGATTTTTTTCCCCTCTGGGGATCAATATATGCTTACCATAATTTATAGCAGATTAGTTTTTATTGGGACACATTTTCTTCTGAAGTTGGAAAATGATTACAAGGTGGTATTTAGTTCAGATGTGATCCTGAGTAACTGGGATATTGTTCCTGGGAAGTTTCTGAAGCAGATACTTTAAAACAGAGGTGTCAGACACACGGCCTGCGGGCCAGATCACTACCACTGCCAATCAATAACTTTGCTAAGTGTGAAAATTGCAGAGCAGTCATTAGCTCAAACTTTTCAATTAAACATACTACTACTCCTATTTGTCCAAGTGAACCAGTTCTTATTTGTTCACTGAGGTAAAGGTGAAGCCAGTGTGCTTGGTATGCTCACAGCACCTGTCAGTGCTCAAGGTATATTATATTTAGCACCAGTATCAAACTCATCATGTCGAAAAATACAACAACTTACAAGGACAGTGCAAGGACAGTGAGGATAAATGAATTGTTGGCAGGTTTGAGGAATTATATGTCTGGTTTTAGGTTTAGCCGAGAGAAAGCTAGCTACCTTATGCTAACAAAATAGCATCAGCACCAAAGCTACACTGTGGGGGACTTTGCTGAAAGTCAGACATATTGCTGAAATTGCACTTATTTTTCTGTCATCCTTCAGCCTTCATCTCAGGATATTTATCATTTGTTTTGTAAATGGACTGTTCATCAATTGAGTTCAGAATGTAAACTACCTGAAACGTTATATCGTTACACTAAAAGAGAGGGGAACATTTGAAGGCTTTGTTATTTACAGGTTATTATGCAATTATTTTACTGGTCCGGCCCACATGAGATCAGATTGGACTGAATGTGGCCCATGAACTAAAATGAGTTTGACACCCCTGCTTTAAAACCTCAGCAAATAAAAACCAAGGAGCAAAGCTTCATCACCAAGCAGGTAAATTGGGCAGCAGACCCACCCAAAAACAATATGAATTGACATGAGAGGGGTCTAGTTCTAGTTTCTGCTGTTAACTCTTTTATTATTTATGTTTCTATGATCCTTACATGATGCATTTTCTTAAATTATTTTATGAATTGACTCAGGAAACTTGAGGTAGAGTACTGTTTTAGCAAAAGATCACTGGTTGACTTTAGTGGCTCTAGGCAAAAATAAATATGCCTACATGCAATATTAGCTGAGATCGGTTATTATTTATTTGTTAATTTTGTAATTTGGGTGAATTCACACTTTAAAATGATCCCACTTATAAATGGCCTCTTAGAATCCTAGGAAAAACAACGCATGCGCAGTTACGCAGTTTACACCCAGAATTTGTTTTCTCAGGAAGCGCTTATGTGCCACTACGGAGAGCACCACCACGGTCAAATGGTGAACAGTGGATTTATATCATAGATAATTAACGACAATGTTACAGTCATTATATTTACTATTTACTATTTTTAGACGAGGAGGCAGCGTATCTTCTCCGTAACCACATCACCCTGCTAAAAGGCGCTGCCTGACAGGCTAAACCCAGGGAGTACTTAACTACGTGTGACGTGTACGCTGAGGTCCTGTATCGGTGGCGGAAGATGGCTGACAGTGGAGCCTTGGCAGCGAAAAGATGCGACTCTGGCTCACTGTCCTCCGTCAGTATGGAGACTATCTCCGCGCTGACGGAGCTGGAGGACCTGGAGAGAGTCTACCGGCAGCTCTGCGCGGAGGAGGTTCGTTTAAACAACCGTTAACGGCAGTTTGTTTGACGTGTACACTCACTGTCGTCATCCGCGTTAACTTCCGGGTCGCTGCAGGCTCAAAACAAAAACTCCATTCTGCTGAATTATTACTAAATTAACATTTTACAGTTCAGCGAAGGACTTGTCTTTGCAGGTCAGACTAGAGCTACTGTTTGCTATTTTCTAGAGAAGGCAGGGGGCAGGGTCAGCTGCTGAGTTAAGAGGCTACAAAACGCTTCATAACATCAAACTATTTGTCCCACCAACCTGAAAATATAAACCCTGCTGTTTCCAAGTAGGCTACGTATCTCATGTTTGGATATCACTTCTCTCTATATAATTTGATGTGCCAGGAAAACACCCCAGCACCACCTAGAACTGTCACTTAGAAATATTTAAATGTATTTTTCATTTACACTGACTGACATGAGTGCTCCCACCCTAGATCTTTACAACCTGTCTTTTAGCTCTCAGTGCACCAGTTGTCACAATCTGTGTTGAAACTTTTAGAAGATATGACCTGCTGATTGACAAGTATATCTAAGGAGATCACCTCACTCTCTGTATCACAAGTACAGTCACTTAGAAGAAAGTGCTAATTCATGGGTCATTTGTGCACAGTAAACTGTAATGGCGTGTCCACAATGATGGATTTTTATCCATGCTTTGCGTCATTAAGCATAACAACAACCACAAAAGAAATCCTGAAAAGCATACTAGCAAATAGCATGCACTAGGCTCCAAAAGCCTGAATTTACAAAGATGTGGGGCTCTATAACGGCCTTGTAAACCCTACACACTTGTCAACTAACTACTAATAATTGACACACTTTACCCTTCTTAATATACATCTACATATATACGTAATTGCTAAATGTATGTAGTTTCTTTACATAATTTGATGTATGTTTCCTGTGATCCACACTTTCTTTGGGTATAAATTTTTAATTTCTCCTAGCTATTTGGGATCAGTACGACCCAAGAAGTGTCACAAACTAAACATTGTCAATGATAATTAAGTCCCACTGTCTTCAAACAAATACCACCTAATTAACAGTGTCTCAGCTTTTTTCTGCTGCTAAAATTGGTCAAATTTGTTGCCACGTCAAACTACAAACATTATTAATCATAAATAAACATGTCTCAATCATAAAATGTGATCAGGTTTTGGACCTTGTCCACTTTTGTGTCGGGATCGACTGCAGACTGACTTGGCAGAGATGGTTGCCATCTTGTTTTTACATGGATTAGTGTATTGTGATCTTACTACCACTAGATGGCACAAAAAAGTGTCCACAAATGAGAACAACGGGTTTAAGTTAAGTGCAATTAAGTACAAGGTCAAGTAAACCCAAAATGTGATGTCCTCATATGAGGGGTCTCAGGAGGATATGAAGGCAGTTGGACACACGTTAATAAAAACGTTAAAATCTATTACAGTAGTAGCACGCTACACGGTATATGTGCAATGTGTATAAGATGCTCAAATAAAAATAATATTCTTGTTGCTCATTTCATGTTTTGTCTTTTTGTCTAATACAGAAAGAAGTGGATGCTGAGCTGGACAGACTGGTGGGGCAGGAGGGAACCATTCACACAAAGATGCTTGCACTGCAGAGGATGGGGTACAGTTTATACAGATTACTGTAGTTTCAAAAGCACCTGATGGTCATCATTAATTTGAGCTCCAAACAACACAGTTAGTGTTTAACAAGAATCTGTTGAGCAACATGCTGTCTCTTTGCTCTACAGGCCCAACCTACAGTTGATTGGAGGAGACGCCAGCCAGCTGTCAGGCATGATCACATTTACTTGCAGCCTGGCTGAAAACGTCAGCCGCAAAGTCAGACAGCTAGACCTGGCAAAGGTAAATACAAACGCTCATTCCCAAACCAGCAGATCAGAACAACAGTAAACATTGTTTCAAAAAAAGATCCAGATACAAGTTGTATAAATGACAAGACTGCTGTCCTGATTCTCACACACACTGATCTCTTAGTGTATGTGTTATTTTATTTTTGTAGACACGGCTGTATAACGTCATCCAGCGTGCTGACGATATCCTGGATCTGAAGTTCTGCACAGACGGCGTGCAGACAGCTCTACGTAATGAAGACTATGAGCAGGCTGCTGCTCACATCCACCGATACCTCTCGCTGGACCAGTCGGTTATTGAGCTGAGCCGACAGGGAGAAGAAAGTACGAGGCCTCTAGTTCTCTGTCATAGTGTATCACTCAGTATGCATTCTTACACTGCAGGGAAGAAGTACTGTAATCTTAGTTGATTTTTTTTGTGTTTTTATACGATCTTGAGGTTAAATATGTCAGAATAGGACTGCAGTTGATCGAAAAACTTTTCTTACTGTAGTAGCAATTTAAATCAGCTGTAAAACTGATGCAATGAATCTAGGCTTGCACTGTAATGCCGCTGATGTATCATGTCTGTACAGGCAGTGCTGTGGATGCCAGTCTGGTGATGCTGCAGGAGGCAGAGCAGAAACTGAAGGTCATCGTTGCTGAGAAGTTGGATGAAGCTGTGGCAGCAGTCGACCTTGCACAAGTGGAAAGGTTTTTCAAGATCTTCCCTCTGTTGGGCCTCCACCAGCAGGGCCTTGCACGGTTCGGCCAGTATCTCTGCACACAGGTAAGCTGTGTTTTCGGTCCTGTTTGTGTGCTGTGTGGCTGAGTATGTGTCGAAAACTTGAATTAAGGAAGGGGGAAATATAGGCTATGAATGGACCAATGAACATTCGGTATGTTTATGGTGCAGAGATTCAGGTATTGTTTTAATAGGATTACTTTACATATTTAACATTTTTGTTATCTTCTGTGCTGCACTTGAATACAAGAGTTTTGATACATGCGTTCCTTGGATCACAATGTGTGTTTTAATGAAGATCAGATGGAGACTATGGATCCAGATGTAACTTTAAAAATTCTATTAGCCAGGTGAAACATCCATGTAGCTGCAAGTAATAGGCTTAGCTCCTACAGTAAGAAACAGTCATTGTTTCATCTGATGAGACTGAATATAAATCTCACAAGCCATCTTTGTTTTTTGGACAGAAATAGTCACAGTTTGTGTCTTTTTCACACATATTCTCACAGCTTGCCTCCAAAGCTGAGGAGAACCTGGTCTTGGCCACAGGAGGAGACCTGGGCGAGAAG